ATGGTTTGCGGTCAAGTAAAAGCAATTTTATGGCAGCCACTAAGTACGAGACATTAAAAGAAAGTAGAAATGGGTTCTAAAGTAATAATAATAATATTTAGGTATGTATTTATTAATCTTGTTAATTTTGTATTGGACTTTTTATTACATTAGTTGCACAAAACCTCTAACAAACAAAGGATTTTGCAACAAAGATAAGAGAAAAAGTTTCTTCCATCTTGTTCTATTGTAGTCTTTCTTACAATGTACCGCGGGAATATAATTGTTCATTTGAACTTAAACTTGAAGGTGATTAGGAAAATTCATGTGTTTATAACGCAACCAATCCAACTTATAAACTATTGATGTATGTGAGATAAAAATTTGGATACAATATTTAGGCACTTTGACCTGTGAATGCCACCAACCCCATGTAACCCTAATATGGTTAGTATTAAAACAGACCTACTCCTCCTCACATCAGTTTCCTCAATGGTTAGGTTCGTGACCACCTCGTGGAAGCAGTGTACTGCGTATTACTCTCGGCCATCTACTTCTATCTGATGCCGAATGGAGAGCATCGTGGATAGTAGTGTTGAGAGTGGTGCGAATCTGATCCGTCCTACACATCGGACTTCTGCCTTTAGGTCGCTTTCCTTCCACTTTGCCAGTGATCAGTAAATTTTCCAAGTTACAATAGTTCCTTCTGGCACTATGTTCAAAGAACAGACCACATAAATGTTATTTCTATAGTTTATCAGGGTCTGACAGTAAGTCAGGAATACTCTAAGAGGTGGAAGATACGCTTATGCATAATGCATTACCGGTGACACGACTAGACCGTTATCTGCAGGCTGCATTAACCCATTTATCTCACTCGATTTGTTAGCGCACGACAATTGGATGCGATGTATAAAGTTCTAAATGCTCCAAAATGATATGATCTTGTTATAAGCTATTGCTGAGCGCAATTTCTTGGTTTGCTTTATTTTATTATCTTTGGTGAAATAGAGAGGATAGTTAAAATAACATTGTGATATATGCCATAAACTTGTTGAGGTTTCTTGTTTTTCACTTAGTTTTTTGGTTAAACTGTTAATATTAGCAGAAAATACTCGTCATGGGATTTAGCATAAATATCGGTCAGTATTTTTATCTTATTTCAAGAAAGATACCTACTCTACAAAAGTAAGATGATGACATTAAATCACCAATCTCTGATTGTAGTTTATATGACAACACGCTTAATATTCAGATTACAAAATTATAAACTCTAATATGTACAGCGGTTGTAAAAGGATATTGAATGGGGCGTATCGGTGATGGCCGACCAGTCAAAATATATTTTTAATGATAATGTTCCAGTCATAAATGTTAATGAAACATGCCTCGAAGACCGACTCGATTTACGGGACAGCATGTCGGGTCAACATCACAAGGCCTTCTAAGGCGATGAAGCGTATTACGAATAAAAAGTACACGGTTTTGAGGATAAAAGGGAATTTATTAAATTGCGTGCCCCTTGGGGTTGAGCAGCTTGCGTGTTTCCAGAAAACGACTCGAGAGTTAACATTAATCAAAGAAACAATTTATCACGATTAACTGTTTATATTGATAGAAATAGGTATCGTGTACTGCTGCTTTTAATATTTTTTGTAATATATAGATTGGATCAATTACTTTGCTTTATTTTACAGTAAGATATTAAACTTTTTGTGACTTGAGAATCAATATGTTTGTGTAGACAAGTACAATCAACTTAGAGCTTAAGTTATGCAAGCGTGCAGTGCCGGTATCTGCTCGAAACGATTCAACTTCCGCCATGATATAATCAGATGTAGTCGACGCCGAGCTCTAATGAAATAGAGCCAAGAGCACGGAGCAGTCCTGCGGGGGCTGCGGCCACGGGACCGAGTCAAACACCAACTTCAAGTGTTTAACTCCAACAATTGTCTTACTTTACTAATATTGTTTCACGGAACCTTAACATCGTGTAGCACCATCCAAGTTTTCCCCAAATTGAGTAAAAATGTGACATCTTTTCTTCGGCTTTGTGAATACTTTACATTTTGCTCATGTTCGTTCACGCGTATCAAAGACGTATTTTCTTTAGTTCGGTTTCCATTTTGATAAAACATTGAATAGTGCTTCCTGTAAGTGCCGACGTGGAAGGAATTTATAGAGAACTAGGTTTATTTTTCTCTCTTTAGGTAGATTACTTAGTTCAATATTGGTGACTTTTTGCGTTTGAAAGTGTAACGTTCGCTTGATACGAACTCTTTTTTTGTCATCTAGTGGTTGATTGTTCCGTGCCAATTCTGAGGGCATGTAGGTCATATAGAAATGTTACAAATAATATATATCGTCTTTAAGTACCTAAATATTTAACCAACTTTATATTTCAGACAATTTTGATTTGTCGAAAAAGTGTTAAAGTACGTAAGCATTAAACCAATAAACCAAGAAGAATAAAAGTAGTAATAAATGTTGACAAAAGGTTCTTCCGAGCAATAATGCACTACTTTGTCATTTAATATCTAGTCGGAAAACGGAAAAAGGGGCAACGTTGACATCAATAACAAAGGCTGATGTCGAATCGAGATCCTCGTGGAAATATTGATGAGAGCGAGAAGATGAAAACCCCTTTTGTATTTCTAGTTTTTCACTGCAAAAGCAGGGTTTGTATTGCAAATAACGCGGACGTGACAACAGCCGATAATGAGAGTTCCCAGGCTCCAAGCGTGCATTGGAATGAACCTCTCGAAATTAGGTACATCTCCACTCTGAAATGGAGCTTTACATTCTGAACGAGCATCTTTAACTGGGTAATATTAGGGATCGTGTACACTGTAGCATTGTGTCCTTAATAGCGCATTGTCATGAATGAATGAGGGAGGTAATTTTGACCGCGCACGTACGCTATACTGTCTTGCCGTGTGTTAGGAATGTAATAAAACAGGCATCCTTGTGGAACGGATGTGACTCGCGTCTTTCCTATCTAAGTAATGTTCAAACAGTTATTTCTGGAGTATGAAGTAGAAAATGTCAACTTTAAACTTGTGGAATTATTCAGATGCATTCTGCGTTTCATTGGCGTATCCATTATAGTGTTTTTTTATTGGATATAGTGGCTAATGCTTTGGGGGCTTTTATGTCGGCCTTTTGCGGGTTAGGGATTTAAAGATTATGGCATAAAGGATTCGGGATCGGGGGTGATTGGGCCTCTGATCCTGCAAGCGTTGTTCCACGCTAGTTTTCTGTGAAGCCATGGTGGTCGTGGTACATTCGTGCCGAAAAGTACTCAGCTCTCCCAAACAAAACAAAAAAACGTTTTCTGATAGAAGCGTAAAGGCATTGTTGATAAAAAAGCGTTCACAGAATGAAATTGTAGATAATTAGAAGCAATATATAATACTCTGTCTACGAGTGTCGGAGATGTGGATAGACGGATTGATGGATGAAGTAATTACAATGATTCGTGTTCATGCCAACACTCTCAATGAATGGAACAAGTTTATTTCCCTCATTAAAGGCAGGCAAAATTATAGACATGTTCTTTATATAGTTTGTTCCTAGTCTACATGTATTATGGCCGAATATACACTTCAAAGCTTAAGGAAGACTTACTCAAAGATTGATGAACGGTTAAATAAGTAAATTGTCCAATGAAAAAGATATAAGCAGTATACGCAAAAGCGATGTTATCCTTAAGAAGGCAAGTTGTCTTCGCATTGTCAAATATAAAAGCCTAATCTTCACGCATATTAACATTTTTGTAAGGAAAGTCGTAAAAGAGAGTACTTCGTGAGAATTTTATACTCATTGTTTGTAAAGTGTCGCTATCGGTGTATCGACAGGGTGTTAGAATAAGCTTTTGTTGAGGAATGTTTGTTCAATGCAGTGTTCAAATATTGTCAGGAGCTGTAAGCGCTTCTGGCACCGCAGCTCACGGTCCGCTTAGCGCTGAGACTATAAAAATCGAAGCTGTATCAACACAAGTACCGTTTAAATCAAAGTTGTTTGAATTGTTCCTCTAGAAGGACACTGGATATAAGTATTTAAAGAGAAACTTTGCTCTGATAAAACTTTGAATAATCTTCTTCATAAATCTTTAACAAAAAGAAAATATTAGGATTTGGTTGGAAGCTTTAGACTCTCCAAGCATTTTATTTGCTTTGAAATAAGAAAGAAGTGCCTCTCGCCGGTCTCTTGAAATCTGAGAGGTTCAATATCAACTTGAATGTAAAATTATAATCATAATCCAGATTCTAGTCCTCATATTTCGCGTCTGTGGGCGACAAATTTTCCAGAATTTTAATACCATATCAAATAGCAAATATCGGTGAACTAAAATCTTTTCTGTTTCTTTGGGAAAAACATGCTGCTGTAGTTAATATTTCTAAGAAATAAATACACCAACATCCTACACAGGTACCCGACCGTGTAACTTCATAGACTTGCATTAACTGGTTAGCACGGAACCAGGAAGGAAGACTGCAATAAAAATACTAGATTTATTTGAAAGGTTAAGCTTTAGACACAAATTTATCGGTTACAAACGTACCGGACACGAAACGTTACAACTGCTATTTCGTTGATATTTATTTCACGATCAATTAAATTGGAGAAATATTGTTTTGTATTTAGTAGGTATTAAAGTTTTTGGACATGGAATTTCTGAATATATGTTTGTTTTAAACATTTCATTAAATGAATTCCCGTTTTTAATAAACGACAAGTGATGTTATATTACAACACCAATTGATCATTGTTTTTATAAGGTACTTATTAGTTCTTAAAAGGACAATAAAAGTATTGCTTGATTAATCTACAGCAAGTTGTGTTTAGTAGGTATTTGTTTTACCCACCCGTCGATGAGAAATGCATTAAATATTTTCACAAGATATTCCGAAGTTAACAATGACAAGGCCTTAACCAGATCCTATTGCTAGACTTTTCCTTTTTGTCCTTCTTGTTTGCTAAATGCCATTATTTTCTATGCGTCCTCTTTCTGCCTTCTATTAGAGACCCCCCATTTCATTCAGTATATACTCCTTCAGTATAATTTCCTCCGTATCATTCAGTATAAATTCTTTAATAGACCAACGCACTTCTGACTGGCCATGTTGTTCAGGCGTTTTGTCTGCTCGTTTGACTCCTACTTCATAAAAAAGTTTGCTGTTGACTTATCCGGCTTAACTTCAGACTTAAAAAAAAGTAAACAATAACACGGTCAATTGGCCAAGTAAGTAAACTTAGTGGGTAGAGAAAGTGGTTTTCATGGTGGAATTATTATGACATATTTCTTCCATTTTCAGTACGTCGTATGAATCACATGAACTAATGACTAATAACTTGTAAGTAATATTTACTTTGAAGGGCAATTTATTTGATGAGTTCGCCCTTATTGGGATGTGAATTGTCCTTAATAGTTTTTTGACGGTGGACAAAGGGTTAAGTGGAGTACGCGCAGAAGGCACGTATGAATAAAACTCAAGTGAGGTTAAAGTACACAAGAACCTTCCAAATTAAAATGACAAAGGACATCATAGTTATCCAACAAACGAAATGAAATTTAAATTACACAATATAATTATTTGATTAGTGTACCGGTGAAGTGTTGAGCTAATATTGACAGAAGATGTAGCTTCGAGCGGGCTGCAGAAGCCACTTGGGTATAGTTCCGTCTCTCTCTACCTTAGCTTAAATAAGTTAACGTACAATATGCATAAGTTTCATCAGGCGAGTAATGCTAATGCGTTTTGAAGCACCACTCCTCTACGCCGTTGCACTCGGCCGGCCAGTCAATCGAGCGTGTTTCAATAACTTACTAAAATATGTACTGTGTGCTTTCAAACTTACTATCATGTTCGTACATCATTTATGAACTAGCTTCTTAATGGAGGACACTTTTGTCATTACATATTTCCAAACATATTTTAGCAAAGGGAACAGAGTCGGTTTTTCGGCGTCGAGTTCATTTATTTGAATTTATACGAAAAAAAAGTTGCTTCTGTTTTTGAAAATGAAAAACGCATGTCTACCACAAAATACGTGTGTATTCATTTTAAATGTCCTATGCCATTGTTTTTAAGTATCTAATTTCTTTTTATAGGTACAACTTCACATAACATCGAGAACGTTTGTATTTATCGAAATGACTAAAACGCCCCTTTGCTGTTCAAAGCTGATATCTTAGATAATTGGAAATAAGTAACCAAAGTCTATTAAAGACGTAGCCAATATATTGTTTGTTTTTCAAAACACAACTACGCTGTTTGAAAACAAACTTTCATTACATAAGGTAAACGTAGCTTATTACGTGCATGTCATAAAAACGTTGTTCATATAATTCGTTTTGTTTGAAGACAGTACTCGTTCAAATTTGAATTACAGTGCGCGGAGATGAAGGAAATGGAATCCCGAGTCGTTCTCAAATTCTCGAAGCAAATTGGCTAAACTTCTTAGAGCGCTACCTATCAATTTCAGAAGACATTTCCAATTAAACTTTGGTTGTGCTCTTTACTTCGCGTCTTTTACTCTTAAATTTATTTCATATTAATTATTAAAATTGTGTCAAGTGTGGATTCACGTCAAAGGCTTACTTAGTAAAAATAAATAAGCTGCCTGTATAAATTTAGGTACCTGATTTTTGACAGTCATATAAATCAGGGTTAAAAGGTTTATTTCAGAGCGCAATTTTTGGAAAGTCTAAAGGAAATGTCGAGATATTTCACCTGTGCGCGACCGGGGCGGGTCGGTAATTTGTCATAAAATATAATATATATCTGTGCTATTTGTCTCATATATTCCACTATTGTGAAATCCGGATTTAAAATGAAAATTTCTAGCTCTCTTGCTTTCTTGGTTTGAAATCCCCAGATCCGCATAACTTGGACTGAGAATAAATTGTGTTTCCAAGCAGTTACTACATTATGTAATATTTACTTGGGAAAATTGCCATACGAGTTAGATTCATAACGATAAATAAACTGTTATTTTGGTCACGTGCCTTTTGTATTAATAGTTATGACTATCAACGATTACAAGTTAAAACGGGAAATAATCGTTCGACCACCTATTAAGATTCGCAGGGAAATAATTATCTTCCTACAATACACGATTATTCGATTTTGCACACTTAGATAATGTTACAACAACGCTACATTCCGGTCGGAATGGATAATCTACATAACTTGAGCATAAAGAGTATCGGCTGTTAAATTTACGTAGAATTAGTCATACAATGCTGGAATAGCTATTAATTGATACGTTCGGTATTGTAGATAGAGCACGCTCTTGTTAGTGTTCGCTAACTCAACAATGTATAGCTCTGTGGTACGCTCTGAATAGCGAGGGATCGAGACGTCTGTGCCTACTAATCCACTAATTGAAGTCGACGATAAGTACCTATAAGTTGTACCAAAGTTTATTGATTAAATGTTAATCTCAGCACTTTAATTAATACCGTAAATGAAGGACGAACTAAGATGAAAAGGCGATATAAGGATGAGGAAGTGATGTGGGTCCGACGGCAATGGTGAAAAGCTTTAGCTACCTTGTCATTAAAACAATACATTTGGTATTATTAGGGTAATATTTTACGAATAATTCTCTGTATATTATCTGACTTTTATTCCAACATCAATTGACTTTTACCATTTGAACTGAGAGAAACATGGCACCGTTCGATGCTGATAAATAGAATTTCCGAGAAAATGTGGGTTGCTAAAAAGTGCGAAGTATCGCGCCTTATTTTCCGCGTTTCGTCGAGTAATGTGATTTGGGTACCGAGAGTGCAATAGTGACAAGTATTATTCAAATTCTACGATTGTGAAACTCGGTTTTGTGGGAGCGAAGAAAAGGTGATTTCTTTACTCGACTCGGTAAGCTTACAACGCAATTGGGTAGTTTCCTAGGTCAAAAATAAATTAATTCGACGTTTTAATACGATAAAATATTGAAAAATAACTATACTTTTATTCATCAATCAATCGATACACTAAATTTTAGATATTATTTAGCTATTTTTTTTAAATAAGTAATCTATTTGACGCAAAAATACTATAACGTCATAATTCAATGTTTCATACAATTTTCATAGAAAAGTATCGTTTTTGACATTTGGATGAATTTGACTAGTTGGAAACAACCGTATTAAGGAAGACATGAGATATCCGGCCTGATTTAGACGTCATTATATGAAGTGTTATTACACTCCCGTCGTCCTGGTACCCCGGAGGTTAAGGCTTCTCTTATATGAGGGTGTTGGTTGGAAAACTGGCAAGTACCAATGTGACTTTTTTGGAGTTATATGGTACTTTTTATGATTATTTTAACACCACTGACATGCGGTGAAGAGAAAAATCGTGAGAAAGCCTGCATTTTCGCCAATGCGCCATGACTAGCGTGGTGATTAATTCTTAAAACTTCTTTGTGTGAAAAGAGGTCTTTGCTATGCAGAAAGCACTTATAGGCTGATGATGTGGTGTAATATATACTGTACGTATTATATTGAATAGATTACAGTCTACAAGTTCAGAGAGTTAACAAAAACCCGTCTAAGGGAACACGGAAAAACTGTCGGTCCCAGTTGTGACACGATGATCTATAATGGCGGTTACGGCCCCGGACATCTGACAACGGGTCTAACCGAAGTTGTATCGTCTTTACTGGGTCAAATAGAGGGCAGATGGTGGCCGATGTACCTACAGGGCTAACAAAACACTGCTGACCTTAACTCGGAGGAAAAATTGTGAACTAGCAATTGAATGGAAACGTATAGGTAATTGTTAGCATTCCCGTGCCTCTAAAACTAATGTAACATTGGACGAAACGTATAAAAACTGTAGTAGTAAGTAGATACCATATGAAAAGCAGATAACTTATCATGTAGCCAGCTAAAAAATCTTTTTAATAACAAAACTTTAAAATGCAAACACGATAGGAACAGAATGGCGAGAGAAAAACTTAATTAGCACTACTAGTGAGGGTCGTGTGAATACTTTACATGTAGCAACCTACAGTGTCTATGAATGCTCTCTCATGAATACCCGTGTTTTTAGTTTTCACAACTTTTTGCTGCTTGCAACATGTTGACAGCTTTAATTAGTTGCTGAGGGAATTAACTTGGAGTTCTCATACTGCGGCTACAAGACTCGTAAATCAAATTACTCATACTTCATTAGGTTGCAAACTTTAAATATCGTTACCGATATTACGAGCTTGGTTTAGATTCCAAGTCCGGATAAAGGCACAACTTTAGGATTGGTACGCATTTTTGTAATTTCTATTCAATGTAAGTCAATTGGTTTGGCTGCTATTGTGACTGCGACAGTTGCGAACTTATAATTCCCTACGCTCGCCTTTCTATGTTCGAAATAAAGGCTAATTTCCTTTTAATCTATCAAAATTAAAACTTTGTTTCCTGTTGACAACAAAATCACAAATATGGTAATAATATAGTTGCGACGGTACGGGGTGGCACCAACCACGAAGTTCTCAACTCTAAACTTGGAACTGCTTCATTATGTATACGTTGCGGACCCACTATTTTTCCACGGATTTCTAATTAGGCAGCGCTACGTGTTGGCAGCTTATCCGACCAATTAGCATAGCAAACGAAGGTGCTTACCGGCATCGTGGTAGACTGGTACTTCGGTAGTCAGCATGGCCTCATTATAACCGGGTCGCATGAAGCACCGCGTCGCAGATGGTTCCCGAATATTTGCCCCGCTGTTCTCTGCACGTATTTCATCCACTAGAACACAATCAGCTGCAGCGTCGCTGTCGATTTATGCCCCTCATTGTGTTTGAATGTTCAAAATTGTTTATTGTAGCTCTGGAATACTCGTGTCCGTTGCCTAAGAACATAATAGAAGTACCGTACAGTCGTATTACTTTTCTAAAGAATGCAATAAGAATGTTTAACAATAAGAGAAAATATTCAAAGGTCGTTTACAAATATAATATCATTGTGTTGTCGTAGCTATCATTTTATTCCAGTATTTTCGCTCGGAATCGGATTTTAAGATACGCCCAACTTTCCGTTGTACCTACATCAAGTTAATTGTGTCTTAAACTTAATCCAATCTGGCCAAAATTTAATACATGAGTAACTTTTATTGGGGTCTATTTCCAAGAAATAAATTCAATTGTAAACACAAATTTATTACGAGCCCACACAAGAGTGATAGGCAAAGTTAATTGAATTTATTTGAAAATACTCTTTTCCAGTCCTGAGCTAATATTTATAGTGGGCGATATTGCTTTTCGCATAATCGGCGGTTCATGTATCATTCGTAGGTCTATTATTAAGCTCCAATCGATAGCAGTCATGTTTGGGCGGTGGGCGTTTAAATACTCGCTCGAATTCCTATCTAGATTTTATTTTTCGAGTGAGGGACAATGCTTGCATGCCTAGCGTGTGCCGATATTATGCACTGGAGTTATATTGCCTGTGAAGTTTGATTGCAAAGTGTGATTGGAATATTGATGTGCATCTTTTTTATATGTGTCCTACTTTTTTGTACATATCCTAAAATTAAACTGGTATTGTTAGGAGCAACCGATCGAATAATTCCATAAAGCTTCGGCGAGAGACGATATTCAATACACTAAACAAACAACAATACAGTAAGAAGTGATTTACCACTCTGGACATTTTATACCACTTTTACCCTAATGGATTAGTGCAAATGTTTACTTCATCTAACAGAGCGCAAAAGCAAATATCAAAAGTGACTGTGGAAATCTATCGCCTTTGCTTCTCTTTTGTGGAACGCAAAAACCTAATCTAGATTGAAAACTAATTATCAACTTCACGTTGAAGCTTGAAATCCTTAATCGAAGCTTAAAATAACACCGAAACGTTGAATAATCAATAGTTTTAGGTTTACAGCTAATAGTTGATAGTGTTGGAATGAACACCTATTTTGAGTAAACTGGGAGTATTTTCCAATTAAAGTTTTCCCATGAAGTTTGTTCGTAGTACGTGACACAGAACGAATTGGTGTCGCAGATGTCGATAGATAATGTGCCGACTAGACATCTCGCAACTGTTTAAAACTTAACGAATTCGTGAAATTACTTTGTTTCTCCAAGTTCGCGAATGTTTTATCGTTCTTTTACGTGAAAGAATTCCAAGTTATAAAGGGACGGTACCTATAAAAATTGAGAAGAAAAAAGATTTTTCCAGTATTAGGTGCTGAAGTAATTTTCACTAGCGCAGCCTCTATATTTCACTTTGAGTCTTATCGTTGTTGTTTTGGTGCCTTGTACAGGATCTGTTAATTAACTCTCTGGATCGAGGCTTTTTCCTTTACCGTTTAAAATTGCCTCTTTCTCATTTCCTCGATCAATAGAGCGAGTGTACGTTACATCACAGCGTTGGCAATATTAGTGTGGGCTCGGTGCAATATCTTTAAATGAAAGCTTCAGCTAAAGGCGGCGGTGCCTTGGAAACTACCGCAACAACAAATTATTGGCGTCGAGTACCCGGGACGCAGCCAATATCATATTTTAAAATTATATTTATTAAACCTGAGTTTTCGATTTGAGATAACCCATGATGAAACTGTAGATAAGGAGTTATTACATTATTTTTGCGCCCATTTAAACGGGTTTGATGACTTTCGTAACTGGCTAATCGCGTTGTCTAGGTTACTTTCATAATTATATCGGTGCGCAATATCCTATGCACATTATGTGTGTCATGTGCTGCTATATTTTGAATGACGAAACCGTCATAATATAGGCGAAATTGTCGAGCAGGCGCTCCTCTACGGCTTGATGTAACTATGCAAACATCAATTATTATATTTTACAACTATTCCGGTCACAGACGACCGCCACAAAACCGCACAACAGCACAATTTATGAAATTGTTTATCACTAAGTTCCAGTAAAAATATTACTGGACGAAAATTATATCAAATAAACTGAACAGGGGTGTAGTTCCTGTGGGAGAAGCCCTTCCAAACTATTTTATTCAGTTTTCGTCGAATTCTGGGAACGAGGGAAAGTTCAAACATAGTATTTAGCTACATGCCTACTATAATGTTACCACATAGGTAATCGCTTCCATGCAAACATGGTGTGACCTTTGATGGTGGTTTTTCGGTTATTATTTCTTCCATACAAGCATGGGACTTCGGGCTTTTTCCTACCCCAGATATGGCTAGCCTCGCCCCATATTACACGGGCTCCACAACGTGACTTGCGAAATTTGAAAAATGTACCATTAACCTACATACTATAAGGGTTCAAATATATTTTTAATATGTTTTCTTGAATTACTGTTTGAAGCCACTTTAGAAGTACCCTGTAGGCCTGTGTAATGTACATGTGTCCCTTTTGTAAACATCCGGCAAGGGCAATGTATCATGTCGTGGGAAGCACTTTCTGAACATTAGGGGATTAGTTAAGAGATTACTAATTAAGCTAATATCTGTATCTATATACAAAAGGAAGGGTGGTTTTGTATTACGTAATGTTTTCTACTACCATAATTTAAAATCCATTACATGTATACATAGGCTGAGACGCTAAGAAATTGTAAGTAAGAAGACAAATTCCTTAACAAACTTGATATCTATTTGTAGCTACGCGACGTTAGCAGGCTTTTAACGACGTTGTAAAGAAAAACTACATCGTGTAAGGAAACATACGCGTTCGTCGCATATCAAGTCAACGGCCTCATGAAACTGTTCAATACCGCATTATATGGAGTGATAAAAATTCCGCTTTCGTGTGTCGGTATCGATTATAGCAAAACACATTAGCGCGATAGTATCAAAACACTTGTCGGCTCGTGTCGCCACTCTCCGGAATGGAGGAGCGACAGCCGCGCCCTCGGGGACCTACAGTCTACACCCATGATACACCCCGCGTGTGATCATCATTATACAACCATTACTTGTATCAACATTTTGCACGCACTAACTGAACTTTTTAAACAATACCTCGTCCACAATATAAGCTACCCGCCAACGTTAATGTACACAACGGAACATAAATTACTTTTTAAATTAAAAAATACAATACTTAGTCGCTAAGTGAAAAATACAAAGCTATAAACACAACAGAAATACCTGCCGCTGAATTCCAAACATAATTCGAATAAATGGCGTATTTTCACAAAAGTTGAGTCGCGCTTGCAATTCAAACGAGAAAAAACTGTTTTGTGTTGTTTGCGTTTCTGTATTAGCGCTTTCGTACGTTTATTCTATTTACGAGCTACCCGTTGCCATGATCAAAGTTGTAGTTGAATCCTGTCGTCTGTCGGGCAGGCTCTGTGAATAGATCGGCTAAATAGGTGCACCGGCCGCCGGCCCGCAGACTACGAAGCCTCCATTTGCATAATGGACGCCGACAACGCCCTTCATACGAAACTTGCAAAGCAACCGACAAATCGAACCGTTTCGTGTGAAACAAAGTAGCGCCTTTGCGGAACTATTTCACTTTTTACAAACACAACGTGGAAATGTTACTTTTATTTTATACGAGGGCGACTGAAAGACATGAAAGCTGGTCGACCGTTTGTCGAGTCACGCAACGGATTGAGCGATTTTGAATTAACCCACTTTCAAAAGTTCATATCGCCCTTTGACTTTGTAGGTACGTTTACAACATGACGCAGTAGGTATACAAGTATACAATATTTATTTATTTATGTTAACGGCTACACAGTAACAGTTCCGCATGTGCGTGAAATATTTCGAAACGCATTGTTTAGTTTAGTGGGCGCTAAGTGTTGACATGAACTGGATTACTGGAATAACAAACAAGGCCCCGGTCCACTGAAATATTGCACCCACCCACCTACTTTGTAATGTTGAAAATTAAATTTGATAACTAATATAAATATATTGATATCTTCGTGTTGTTTATTTTAGCCGGAAGCTACTTTCGTCGACATGCCTACCTTACATAGGAAATTTCTTTGACCGAAGAATTTCTTAATGAAACGATAAATTCCGTGCTGATCAAAGTATTGTAACTGAGAGAGAGATTTATGGAATCCAATTATTTATCTAAGAACAAGTTTTAATGAAATTAGTATTTGTATCTCTTGAGTAGCGGCTAGTCTACCCAATGTTAATTAGATATACTTAATATTCAAAGTCAAAATTATTTATTTCAATTAGACCCATACAGGCACTTTTGAACGTCAACACAACTTTAAAGATACAAAGTGTCAGTCTGTCGGTCAGTCCTTTTAGTGAAGCTATTCGCTCGTTCCAAAGTGTAGATTCCGATGGAGAAGAACGAGCAAGAAACTCCATGGTTACTCTTTTAAAATCAGTGTCACATAAACATTCTTTGATACATTATTTAGTTAGTTTGAATATGTGAGAACAGTGTAACGCGTGTATACAGAGAAACATAAAAAGAAAATAACCTTAAGGACAATAGACAGTCCGGAGCTGACCAGTCCCAATTGACGGCGCCCGTTCACGAGCATGACACGTACACCAGCATCGCCCAACTCAACCATAATATAGGGAATCGAGCGATCCAGCGACCGTGCCACCGCCAATGTGACCTTTGAGTGAGCATGACAACTCCAAGCTGACATATGGACCGACATTCTGCTAGTCTAACTAATTTTAATAGGTTACAGGGCACTCACATTTACAAATTTATCAAGTTTAACAATAAAAATAGCATGGTTACAAATTTACAAAATCTAAGAACTTCCGTTCAAGCAAAGATCCACTGGAACATTATTTATATTCGTGTAGGTATATTATCCTGTGGAGCAGGACCAGCCCGTCTCCAAGCATCCTTATCCTCAATATAATCACTCAGTTTGTAATATGCTTTTTTACACAAAGTTTTCTTTATACATAATTTAAAATTTCTTTCATTTAATTGTTGTATTTCGCCTGGGATTTTGTTATAACACTTAACGCTGAATCCCATGAACGACTTCTGTACCTTTGCCAATCTAAATAATGGCTGACACAATCTATCTCTATGTCTAGTTTGGTAATTATGTCTGTCTGATACCTTATCAAATAATATTAAGTGTTTCCTAACATACATTATATTTTCATAAATAAACTGACCGGGCACAGTCATAATATTGATCTCTTTAAATTTATCTCTAAGAGACTCGCGAAGCCTTAGGTTGTAAATTGCTCTGATTGCACGCTTTTGCAAGACAAATATAGACTCAATGTCAGCAGCCTGTCCCCACAACAAGATGCCATACGACATAATGCTATGAAAGTAGCTGAAGTACACCAGTCTTGCAGTGTCCACATCTGTTAGCTGTCGGATCTTCCAGACAGCAAATGCTGCAGAACTCAACCGTCCTGCCAGAGATGTGATATGGGGCCCCCATTGTAGTTTTTCATCTATGGTTATACCCAGAAAAGTAGTCTGTTTTACAAATTCCAATTTCTTGCCGTTTAATAATATGTCACATTCGTTACTTTTTACATTTGGTAAACTGAATCGTATACACTTTGTCTTTTTGTCGTTTAGAACTAAATTATTAACTGTAAACCAGTTATGAACCTTCGTAATAGCATTATTTACTTCGTCATAATTATTTGTCCGTCTATTTATTTTAAAAATCAACGATGTGTCATCAGCAAATAATACCATTCCCGGTTCTCGCTGAAATAAATGAGGTAAGTCATTTATGTAGACCAAAAATAGGAAAGGACCTAATATCGAGCCCTGTGGTACGCCCATAGATATGCTAGCACCCTGAGAATTAACTTTGTTTACCTGTACTTTAAGCTGCCTATCCTGGAGGTATGATTTTAATAAATTGAGTGAAGCCCCTCGAATACCATAGTGTTCCAACTTTAGCAATAGTGTCTCGTGTTCGACGCAATCAAAAGCCTTGGACAGGTCAAAAAAAATTCCAATAGCGTCGTGCGACTCCTCCCACGAGGCAAAAACACGCTTAATTAAAGTTACACCGGCGTCAGTTGTGCATCGACCTTTGGTGAACCCATATTGTTGATCATGAAAGATGGAATTCATGTTAAAGTGACGCAGCATCTGAGAAAGCATCAGCTTTTCAAACACCTTACTAAGCACCGGTAAAATAGATACCGGCCTATAATTATTAGGATCGGTATCATCGCCAGATTTAAACAGTGGAACTACTTTGCTATGTTTCATCAAATTTGGAAAAACTCCCTGATCTACACTTCTATTATAAATTAAAGCTAAATGAGGCGCTATAGCTTCTATAAAAGCCCTACACACTGCAACAGACATTCCCCAGAGATCCTCTGTAGACTTAACTTTAATGTCTTTAAACGCCTTTATTACTGATTGGGGGTTTGTGTACTGAAATTGGAAATCAGAACGGCATTCTTTAATATTTCTTTTGAGAAGACTAATTGAAAGTGCCGGAGATGATTCTAAGTCCTTTGTAGTTTCAATGGGGATATTCTTGAAAAAAAATTCAAATTCTTGTGCAACTTCCCGATTTACACTAACATGTCCATTTCCGGTATTTAAATTAATCTCCGTGTTATGCAATTTATGTCTGCCTGTCTCATTGTTAATTATTTTCCATGTAGCCTTTGTTTTATTTTCAGCGTTCTTAATCTTACGGCTAATGTAAAGAGATTTTGCTTGCTTACAGACCATTTTAAATATTTTTGCATATTTGGACACATGCTTGCTAAAGGCTTCGCTTGTATTAAATGGTTTCATACCATATAGTTCAAATAACTTTCCCCTACTTCTACGAATACAATGATTTTACGTTTTAAGGGGAATAATTTATCAAATTGAGTTTTAATAATGGCCAGTAAGTTGGCATAAATCTCACTTGGACCTTCATAATCCTGTGATGGGCTGCATAATATTTGCTTTAAATTATTATGTAATGACTCAACTTTTTTATCCGTGATATGTCTAAACATTATTTCCTTTTTTGGCACCGTTGTGATGTTGTTTAAGTTTATTGTTAACCCACTGTGATCTGATGGTAAGCTATTAACAATATTTTTGTGCAAATAATCACAGTTACAAAATATATTATCTATACATGTAGCCGAGGTGGATGTTACTCGGGTGGGCTCAAGGAATACATTAGACAAATCAAAAGATTTAAAAAGACTTACTAAATTAATACAATTAGAATTGTTTTCCAAGAGATCAATATTAAAATCGCCACATACTATTGTAAATTTACTGTTCGAACACGTTTTCTGCAACACTTGTTCCATAACAGAGTTAAAAACGTTTAAGTTTTGTAAGTTTGGAGGTCTATAGACGCATATCACAACATGCCCATCCAGCTCTACACAGGACAATTCTATTGTATGTTCAATGGAAAGTGAAGTTATATCTTGTCTTTCTTTATACTTAATTGAGTTTTTTAATAAAATTAAACTACCACCATGAATCATTGCTTGACGGCTAAAGAAACTACCAACACAATAGTTTTTAAAACTCATAAATTCTACTTGATACTTCTTCATCCAATGCTCTGTTATACAAATTATGTCAAATTTAAATTTTTCTAAAAATAATTCCAATTCTAGTAATTTGGATGAAATGCCCTGAATATTTTGACTAAGGAGTGTAATATTTCCTTGTTTGTTGAAGAAACCTTTTGATAATTTGTAGTATGAGAATTCATTAGGTTATCTTCTGTTGTCTCAAAATTTAATTTAAAAAATTATCTGGAGTGCTACCCACATTTGTCCCTAAATGTTGAGTCTCCGTCGTACTATTATATGTACAATCAATCACTACATTATTAGAATGTCTAAATAATATAGTTTCGTCACTTAATACTAGATTAATAATATTTGCTAGAAGGCTAGCAAGTAATACTTTACATTTTCTAGGAATTAACAAAGACTTCCTAGTCAATTTAAAACTACTAACAAATTTGTTAGTGTCAAAAAACAATAAATTGTCACTATGACATGTCAAACTGAATATCATATCATTTATACTATGTATTCTCTGATTCTCAGACACTGACAGAGTGTCTGAATATGGGAAAGCACATAATACTATCTTTCCTGAATCTAGCTTTAATAAGGTGTTGACACCATTCAGAATGTCCCTCTTTCTAACACCTGTACTATCACCCATTAGTATAACTATAGGCTGATGTCTTGTGATAGGTTCCTGCATTATTTTGTTAATTATCTGACCAAATTTTATGTTGTGGTAACAATAGTTAGTTATACCAGAATTTGGATTTAGGCCATTTGAGATAAGTGACCCAATGCCTATGCCTATTGAGTCAGTAAAAACACAAGTGTTATATTTTATAATTTCTTGTGTTATTTTAGGTGCCAGAGGCATAGGCCCCACATCTGAATCCGGGGCACAGGCACAGCTGCATGAGAAATTATTTGCTAATGACTCATATCTTTCAGCACTGTATGTCACCAAATCTACAAGCTTACCTGCCTCAACCATATTTTTAATTATTTCTAGTTGAGCAGATTCATATTTTTGGAACTACTCATTTATGAACATTTCTCTTTGTAATAGTTGTTCTCGGAGAGCTTGAATATCTACTTCATACAAATTTCTACTTTTATCAAACTCAGTTTTACAATACTTTAGTTCATTAGTTAACAATAATTTTTGCTTTCTTAAGTTTACACTGTCCTTTAAAAGATTCTGCCTCCTAATAGTTTTCTTTAATTTTCTGATTGTTTTATTTAACCTAATATACTTTTTTATTTTATTATGACTATTGAGTACAGGGCGAGTGGGGATAGTGTCATCACCAGTCAAGTCTATGGTAATGGCCTGCTCACATATGTCACCAGACCCACTCCCAACTAACTCATCATATAAAGAAAGAGTATCAGCTGACTGTACTGATTGTTTACTAGCCTCTAGTTTATTTATTGTATTATGGGCTTTTCTTAGATCATGCTCAAGTTGTGATATGCGTGTCAGAGCATGTTCATGAGTCTCGGTGCACTGCTGAAAAGCACTGACTTCGTTAAATAATCTATTATGTTGGTCTAGCAGGTCCGTGTGACATACATGTAGTTCGGCCAATTCAGTTTTGAGTTTACTATTCCTATTAATAATGTTCTTCACTTCCACTTCATTGTCTTCCCGCTCCTGCAGCAGTTGGTCACACAGGAGTTTGGATGACTCCAATTCCTTAAGTGCTGCCCTCAGTTTAATTTCCATTTCCTTTGCCCGGGTCATCATATTGGCAGGTATGTAGAAATGAACACTGAAATAAAGGAAAAAAGAAAACAGCAAAAAAAAGAAAGGTAGGTGAGTAAGAAGGGAATGAGTTGAATTTAAAGTACAAAAGAGGTAAAGAATATGAAAAATAATAATTTAGTTAAGTTTGGATGTTCTATCATAAGAATATTTCTTATATTGTCAAATGAATGTTGAAGTGTTGTTTGTGATATTTATTATTGCGCAGGTCATTCAGTAGCTGTTTACCTATATTGATAAAATGTTTATTTGTTACAGGTAATGAACCCTTCGTTGTCGGAGTTTCTTCTCAGTGTCGGCAGTGCGTAGCACCGTAGAGGTTTGAAACACTTACATACACACACGACGGTCTCTTTGCTCAATGTTTTCTTTGTGGATGCCAATCAAATTTCACGCTTGTCGAGGTTTCATCCCGACAGCATTTCTTTGTCGTTCGAAGCCACGTAGACGATCGTCCTCAGTTTTTATCGCGTTCTCTCTCATACTCCTCTCGTCATTTGCGAACCCCTTAAGCGGCCCGGTGTCGACAATGGACTTTTTATCGGCGTACCGCCTTTACTGTCGTGCACATACGCATCGTTTGCCGGTCATAAAGTTCCGAGCGACGCGCCTTGTCTACCGAGCCGTGGAATTTTGCTGCTCTCATGATGTTCCTACGGTCGTTTGTTCACAGCATATGACTCTTGAATTTTAACCAATTTTTACATAATGTGATATCGTACGATGTGCGAGATGGAAACGCGGTTTTGTAAAATTGAATAGAAACCTCGCACGCACTCGGGTAGGGAAAAGGCTTCATTCAATTTGCTACACGAGTTTACATATCTAATGTTTTTGTAAACGGTATCTTAGTACAAATTTCTGTGAAATTCATTTATTTGAAAAGATTCTTTTGAGTTCCGAATTGTTTTTGTAAGTTGAGATAAGTGAAAAGACTTGTGCAAGAGTTGAAGATAAAAAATAATTTAGTAGGCTCGTCGTGGAGGACGTTATCTGTAGCGGGTGCGCGTGGCGGGCGCGGCGCTCGGGTTGCGTGTGTTTACCCGCGCGCCCTCACAAAGCAACCCAATATATCAAGTTGTCGGCTCGACTTTACCCGGAGCCGCAAGATGTTGCTACACGAGCCGCTGTTTGTCAAGTTGCGCTACGCGACGCCCTAACCATTATACACTGCATTGTTCGTCTGAACACCGAATAGAACAGACAAACATTATTCGAACACTATTACATTTCCAATTTATCGTATCTAGTACTCATAGACATGAGGATAAAGTGATGGATTCCTATAAACATAGTGGCTTACTGTTTCAAGAACTTAATTCGGTTTCCTCCTCGACCAGTATTTCGTTCGGAGTGGAAATGAAATGAAAGTGTACAAATCACGCGTGAAATTGAGTTCGGCCCGTTGCTGAAGTCATTGTTCGCTTCGGAAACTGGCTGCCACTCCAACGACCGACATATCGGCACAGGAACGCCGGCAGCCCACCAACTCTACTACGTTTTTCCGACCGTAACATGTTTTCGAAACCCATTTAGATTTCAAGCACATGTCTAGACATTGTGCAAATAATTTAGGTACACACTTGATATCGGATTCCAGTCGGCAAACTTTGTCGAGATAATTATTTAAAAAAGGTTCCGGACGTGACGAGTTTCCTTGACACACTTAGATTGTGCAAAAAAGCTTGAAAGGATACATAATTCAAAAGTTAGGATTCTGGAGCAGTCGGTGGGCGGGCCTGGTTGTATACAAAGTTTCATGTTTTCAGCCCGGACGGCGCCCTCGGGAATCATTTATCTGCCAACGCAAAGGAAGATATAATTAATTGAAATTATGCTGTCAAGCTCATGTAATTTGCACGTTTCCTAAATCTGGATTGTGTTCATGATATACTGTACCTAGTTGCAAACTTTGCATCTCGCGCACACTCCGGGTAACAAGAGTAGTTTACTGAATGCAGTATGTGGCGCTGGATCTTTGTGACAAAAGGTGCGGTTCGTGAAATCTGTGTGTCTTTGAGTTTGAAGCATCACACTTCACTGCACTTACATAACATTAGCATCAACGAGATTGCATTCTTGGTGTAAATGGAGGCAATATCGAAGTGGCGGTGGGTCGTAGTGCAGCCGCGCTTCCTCAGGGCGCCGGGTCATTTCCATATTATTCGTGACACGTCCGGTTATGTAAATGGTTCCCGTGCCGAGTACCGACTCCGCGCCGAGCTCGCGCCCGCTGCTAGGTCGCACGCTCCGCAACCGCGCAGCGAGCACGTTCGATCCACCTATCACTTCATTTATCCTGTCAAGCCTCCTAAATATTCCCTTCCATCTACATGCTTTATTAATAACACAATATCTGACTGCGTATTTCTATTCACAGTGTATTCTAAAATGGAAGCCAGCAGCTTCTAACAATAACTAACGTTAAGCAAATTAGTGTCAATTTATCGTAGTTCCAAATTTAAACATTTTGTCTGTCTAATCGGTACTCTTTGTTCGTCTGGTGGAAAGTTAATGTAGTTTCGATAGTAGGGCTGCTAATTTAGGATACAACATTTACCAGCTGTCTATCTGATTAGCCGAGAACAATTTCATCACTACAATTTTAATATTATAGCCATCCTCCCGTCTGCGGTTTGGATTCTCAATCCATAAAACCTCCAATTAAACCCATTATAGCGTTAAATTAACACAGAACAACTGTGTATCAATCTGGGGGTCCGTGGATCAATTATTATAATCAAGCTACTTACTACTTACATGTTCAGCATAAACAATGTATTAATAATGGTGATATGAATGAAGTTTTAATTATGTAATTAGTCGGGGGCATGGTCCCAACACTAGACAGTGGGACACCGGCGTTGTGCCCATTCATTGTGTTATTATTTAGATAGATAATAATACGTCGTGAACACGCATTGCTCATAACGTAGTAAGTAGTATTCGTCCATTGAATTTTAATTATATTTCCGCCGACTTACTTATGTATATTAAAGCTGTAATCATAGCGTACAATCTTGTGTACAATCGTATGGTAATATTTTGGTGGGAAATCATCAAATGACTTATCTTGCTCTGGTGAAGGGGAGGTACAATATTACAATACCCTTTTTTTGGGAGGGGAACATCATCAAATGACTTCTCCCGTCCAGGGCCGGGCGGGAGGGAGTGTCAGACTCTTACTGACTAAAAACCCCCCTGTTCCTTCTCCTGCTCTGGGCCGAGGTCGCGGTGCCTCATTGCGCTTAACCCGCAACCCCGGCTGAACATCAGCCCTTTAGGGCCCCGTCTGTGGACAATACCCTTGCTCCTGCAAACCCTGGTTGAAAATCGGCTCTATTGGCACCATCTGATCATTGTACAGACCTTTACGAATATTTTTTGCTATAGGTTTGATGCGATAGCGCCAAAAAAGTCGCTACTCATTTATCTATTGAGGTGGTGATTTTTTTTGCACATTACAGTAAAAAATGTTCGGTTATAGAGAGTTTCGATGTCCCCTTTATATATACTTTACACCACTGTGTTACACGTATCTTTTTGCTCGATTTATTTAACACTAGATTCCCATTAAGTTTTATAGCCCAACGGACAATAAGCCCTAAAGAAACATTCACAAATACCGGGTATCAGCTACTGCAAGCCTGCACATCTTCCGACCGATAAAGCACCCCAGTTTTATTGCACAGTTGGGTCTCTGTTTGCACAGACTTGAGACAGACAAAAGGGATTATGGATAGTGCTGTCGCAAGAAATTTCGTTGGTATAATACTTAGATTCTTTGGAGCTAAGGAATAAAGTTCCTTATTCTACATTCCGAGAATTTTAACACATTATTTAAGACAGATTGTTTATTCCATTTTATATTAAATCCGAGCTGTAATTAAATAACAAAAGAAATCGGAAATTCTATGTAAACGAACTTAAGCCTTCAATCGATTCCAGTAATTACTCCCTAGATATTCAAAGCTCGCTTTTCACAACCCTGACTGTACTCAATTTGTAATCTTCAGTCACACCCATTACGTACCTTTTGTGCTTACAAAACTATCGTACTTACGTCGTTTAATCATTAGCACGATCGGGTACCTGCTAGTTAATTAACTCGCAACTGGGCTTTCAGCGGTAACAAAACCATACGGTAATACCCTTTAGTACAAGTTGGGTTCACCATAATACCTTTATCCGGACTCCACGTCCGTTTAATCAACTCGAATTGATATTACAAAAGAAATGGGAGAAATGCTACCTTTTGAATCGAGAGCTGCAATTCTACGACTTACTAGGCACCTAGGTATCTTGATCTACCGTTGATATAGATAGTATTACTTAGACTGTAGTAGATTCTTTTTATGTGATAGGACGGCAAACGCGCAACGCTGTGAGGAAACCTGGACTTATAATTTCTTATCATAAGTTTGAAATGGCCAATCCGCCTTGTACAAGCGTGGGAGATTAATGTTCAGACCTTTTCTATTTGGAAAGTGACCTTTGCTGAGCAATGAGCACTTATAGTCTGATGCTGTGTATTTAAGATTTGTATAGTTTTATAAATTTCAGCCGGGGAGATAGCGCAATAAGGTATCGCGGTAAGGTGGAGCAGGAAAAGGAAAGCAGGGGTTTGGAGTCAGTAAGAGTCTGGCACCCCATCTCGCCTGGGCGAGAGAAGCCATTTGATGATTTTCTCCTTTTAAAAAAAGAACTTTTGTAATTTACTGTCGAATTCAAACCTCTGTATTGTTGTAATGGACACCCAAATTGGTGTAATGTACACCCAAATTTCTGCCTATCAACACTGGAAAAATTACGTGATGTTTATTAAATAACAGTGACCACTGGCTAATTTGACGTACCGTAATACGGTCACATTGTCGAATATTTTACAATAAACTTAATTGGCTTTAAATGTTTGGCACTTAAAACACTAATTGACATTTATGGTAAATTACATCCAGCGTGATTGTGTTTCAACCATATAATCAGTAAATTATTCCCTTTATACTTTGTTAAATAAATTAGTATCATTTTAATATGTACATATTATTAGTAATTTTATAGTCTTTCATAAGTTGCTCCACACCCTGGTTTCACAACTTTAGAATCAGTAGGTATTAACATAGACAATATTTTTATATTAAAAATAACGACTTAGTCGACTGCACGACGTTGTCGCGATGCGCACGCTGCTAATGAAGTAGAGCTTCAGTTAATTCATGTAACTATGTAAGTAAGTCGTTTGTTCCACAGATTAAGTATATCCCACTATAATTACAATTCAAAAATATACAATTATCTTACTACCTAAACCCGCTCGGTAAAGAAACGAACCAAAAACGCTCTCGCAATCAAGAACCTAGCCGGTCTAAAATACAGAAAAGATTACTCTACTTCCTTCAGTGATTCCATTCCTTTGAGGCATGATACCACGCTTCTTTTAGCAATTAGAGCATTGGCATCGTCTCGAGTATGTTCCGGATGGTAGGAATTTCTCGAGAGCAAATAAAGGATCTAGTCTATAGACTCTCGGGCCCAGCAAAGCGATACTCCCCGCTTACCTAGGCATCTCTAATGCACACTCACTTTAATTAAATTACTGATCAAGCAATAGAGAACTGCACTCAAGTACTCAAAGAGTTGATGGTGCGCCGTGATCACGAACATCGATTTACACAGGCTCTTTAAAAAACCATCGCTCTCGTTCGAAGTTTTATGTATCGATTAAAAGGCTTTGAGCTTGGATGTAGTTCGAAAACACGGTTTTTGGTACTAGGGCTTAGCTGTGAACACAGTTTGTTGCTTACCTAATGGTTGATGGAAATCTCTGAAGTGTAAAAATCTTTTATAGGTATTTATCGGATAATCGTATCACAACGAATATTACTGTATTATTTAAAAATAATATTACTTACAAAATTTTTTTATATCGTGTCGAAATAAGAAGTTTGATGGGCGCCGTTAAATAGTTTCTGTCTGCACCATCGACAGTAAAGCGTATCGTGATATTTTTTTAAAACATATTTTTCTACTATACCTACACTTATCAACACGTCTGATCTTCGAAATCGTTGAAACTAATAAATTAATTAATTCCGATTCAGAGTCATGACAGCAATGAAGCAAAAACTAAATTCTGCTTAGTACGTACTTGAATGGCGGAGACATCTCTTCAGAGCGGGGGAACAAATTAATTGAATGTAATCACGTGTGTACCACGTTAACATTGCGTGCTTTAAAACGTAAATGATCTTCCAAGGCGCTTTAATGCTTTCATTCAGCCTTCTTGCTCGTCAGCTTGATTTACTCATTAATTTTCTTGTTTTAACATCACTACGCATGCCTTTAATACGGCATGTCTTTAATCTTTCTAGTTTCCAACTTAATCCTACTGCCCCCTTAGATACCTAACGCTGCAATAACATAAACGATCAATTAATTCCAATGTTCAGAATTGTAAGCGTAACGAATGGTTTTAATTAAATTAAATGCCTTCGAAGATTTGAAGTATCGATATGATATTAAAGTGGCAGGGGAGCCTTGTAGGCAGTCTGGCGACATTGGTTAACATTGAGATAGTGATCGTGTTTCGTGACATTACACTGTATTAGATTCATGGGATTCCCATTGGCAAGGGTGCAGCCATTCGTGTTCCTGTGGCCAGACACCCTTACACACGGGTGCACTTAATTATGCAAGCAATCCTACTAAACAACAGTATCTAAATAAATGACTCGTGTCACAATTTGAAAACAATTGATCGTATGTTATGCTTATGCGTCTACATTTAAATTAAGAGTCAATGGATCGCCGAACAAAATGGCCATTACTTCCAATTGAACCAATAACTGTGGTCCGATCAATCAATAAGGTCTACGTGTTTCACAACTCGCACTCATATGTTGCCGACTGTCCACGTGTAGCCGAATAACTTTAAGTATATTGCAGTCGTAGTTTTAGACGTGGAACATAAAACCTTTTATCGGCGAGAGTAGCATTTCGGTCGGCGACATACAACAAAAATTCGGAACATAAGAACAAGTTTCGCGGTGAAAATATGACGGCATAACAAAGACGTTACCTGGGGAAACAAAACAGAGAGGAGACGCGTGCAATGACAATAACTTTGAAAGCAAAGAGAGTGCATCAGCCTCTTGCCTTTG